AAATATTATAATTTTAATGTTTAAAAATGTTTCTGTCTATATCTATAGCCGGAATTTTTTTTTAACTACCTCTGTCTCTGATGGCATCTCGTAAACCTAACAACAAGCGAACAGTGTATTTTCCCTTTCTACCCATAGCTATTATTCAGTCGCCCGTTCTTACTCATAGTACATATATCTTGTTTTTTGTTTTAGCTCAAATTGCACACCTTAATGTTTTAGCCAATTAAATTAAATGAAAAATAAGGAAATGAGAAAATGGGCAAAGGGGCAAACATTGCAGCGTGTTTTTTTTCTTGCGTTACGATTTTTGCCGGAAGTGTGGTGTGAGGGGGGATGGTGACTGCGGGCTGGGTTTAGTACACGGCTGACGCGCTTGGCCTGCAGTGTTGCAGCAATTGGCTTTTAGCTTTTAGCCTCAAACATGCTACATAGTAGCCAGTCCGTGTGTGTATGTGTGTGCGCGTATCTATGTGAGCTCTGACCGCATTTATATTCCAGCGTATATTGTTATCTGTTTTGCTGCATCGCTAATAGGACATTGGATGTTGTACGATATTGCGACAGGACATTGGATTCTATTTTTGCTTTCGCTGTTGTACTGGTTATGCCCGCTTGAGTAGCTGGCAAGGGGTATATTGGATTTGTTTGGTATTTAACTGCCTTTGAAATGGGTTGAAAAAGTGGCTTGAGCTTTTTTATAAGTGAATTATGAAAAATTTTATTTCCAGTCCTCAGATCAGTCTTTGTGTCGCCTGAGATGAAGACTCAGTTGCCAATCTAATCAGCATCGCATGCTTGAAATTATGTTCTTACAGGCTTTTACAAACTTTTGATAAATAGATATTCCATTTGATCTTTCATTTTCCTATATTTAATACGGATATAAGATATCTGAAATGAAGATATAACTGAAAACATTCTCCTCTGAAAACTTTCAAGTCTTTCTCTCAGTAGTTCTCTGCATAGTGTTATTTGTACCTTGTACCTACACCCTTAGCCAGCATCTGGCAGTCGTGTATGCCCGTTTGCCGTGTACCTAACGTGCTTTGTTGTGGTTACACTATATTTCGATTAAAAATTTGAATTTTTTATAATGTAGGGCTATGGTTGTGCACTCATTTAGAATGCATTTGTGCGAAGCTTGGCCACAGGGCGCTAGACACACACGCATACATACATACACACATACATACGCATATGCATGCCTAGCTGTGTTTGTATATATTTGTCCTAACTTTTTGATTGATTTTTTGTTTATAGAACGCATATGTCGCTCTGTTATGGTCTATTCCTCTATTTGTTGTCCTAGCTGCTGCTGCTGCTGCTCCTCCTACTGCTGCTCCTGCTCCTGCTGCGGCTGCAGTTGTTGTCGCTGTTGTCGCTGAAAGCGCATATGCCATATAAAGCCTCTCTCCTAGACTTTGAACTGTTTGCATTTGCATGGACAAACGGCTCGCGTGTCAAAATACTTTGTCTCTTGGTCTAAAAATAGTTTGTCTGCTCAATGGGCTGGGGAGTGGCCGGGGCAGGGGCTGGTTTCAGGTGGTAAAGTGTCCCAAATGAATGTACATATATGGTCTAACATAATATTTGAGCTGAAAATAGCACGAACAAGTACGAGAGTTGCAATCGAAGGCGTTACTGACTGACCTATACTCGTTCAGAGCAGATTTAAGTATAAATTGATGTATTTCGATATGCCACGGCCCAAGGGGCATATCATATGGTATAAATATTCTAACTATGGGATTCTTCATAGTTTCAAATGAGAGCGATATGTACTTTGATCCAGATCCCGAGACCCGAGATGAGATGAAATGCGAAATTTCTGCCTAAGGAGCCAATATACCCGCACTTCAGTTCACTTGAGCGGCCATTGAAAAGGTAACGCTCAACATAACGCTGCGGCAAACACAAATGTGAGCTTTGATGGTCGCCTTGAGACTTGTAGAAAATAATATTCTCTGTTTGCCTTTGTTTTTTATTGGTTATTAGCCTTGGTCGGGGCTCTTGACTGCATCTGGCATATATCTGCCATATGTTGTAACCATTTTTCCTCAGAAAACAAATTGAGAATCATAAATCAGCTGAAACAACATGCTATCATAACTATTGAAACTAACAAACCGTATGTTTGAGCTGCTTACTTTAATATTTATGATGATTATGTTTAATTACTGGAAGTATGGTAAGTGATACTAGCAGGTATTTTAGGTATTACTAACCTGAATTGTATTTTTTGTACTATTGGAAAACTAAAGAGATATTTATTTATTATATTATAATAATTATTATGTATATTTGATAATACGAATCTAATAAAAGTTATCAATATTATATTATGTACAATAAAATCTGATATGTGAAGTAATACTTAAAGCGTATCGCAATTTCTCTTAATAAAATTTTTACTTGTTTCTGTTTCTGACCTATAAATATTTTATTTACTTGTCTGCATTTTTTTTTGTCATCTTTTAATAATAAATGTAGATAATTGTCTGGTAGATAGACTTCTAGTTAATTCATTAAATTATGCAAATCCTTTATAATTTCTTTATTCCACTTTTGAAAAAAAAAGAAAATAGTATTTCGCCATACCAAAGCAGCACACGCACACACATACAAATACACGCGCTGAGAGAGAGAGAGTGAGAGGGCGAAAGTCTGATGGTCAGTAAAATTAGCCAGTCATGCCAGAGGCTAGCTTGTCTTAGTATTAGTGCTTCATAATATGGACAGCATGGATAAATGTATTTCGTGCTCGCTCGCACTTTCAGCATTTTTTTATGTAGTCCATTTCCAACTACACAAACATACACACACACACACACTCCGCATATACCTATATTATAGTCTGTTACTTTTTCGGATTTGTTGCATACTTTTGGGTTGGTGTGTGGAGGATATCGTTTGCGGGGGCGGAGGGGGCGTGAAACTTAACCGTGGATTACATATGCAGCTTTGTCGCTTCAGAGCGGCCACTTGACCCAAATTTGGTGACAAGTTCGGGTTCGGGTTTTTCCTTTCAATATTTCAGGCGCTGAGTGAAGGTGAGCGGCCATGCCTAGGCCTAGTTAAGTTGTAAATTATTTTTTGTAACAAATTTAGCATATTTTCTAGCAGTTTATTATTTTGTATGGGATTAATAATTTAAAGCGCTATATAATACAATATATATGTAACTATATATATATATACTAACGCACACACTTGCCCAAAATTGTTGCTCGAAACGATAAAAAGAAACAAAATAATACAAGGTTTAATCGCAGCCGAAGAAACTTACAGCGGCACATTTCGTGTGCCACATTTCTTATGCTCTCTCTTCCATAC